AATCTATACTACAATGGAGACAATGTCAATATTCTCAGTGCATCTTAGTTATCCTCCTCTTGAATAACCTACTTTCCAGAGTGGTTAGAATAAAAACGTTGTTCTTTGTATTAAATTAAGTGGTCATCTTATTTTTAGGTACACTTGCACACGATGCTCCAGCCTCTATTTCAATTTATCCCAGAGAGAATACATCACAGCCATAAATTATTCAGCTACAGTAAACATGGAAAAACATGTCTAAATAAATGACTACATGGATACAAGGTATGAAATTTCAAATCAGCTCAACAACAACACTATGGCCCCACTACAAAGCTATATGATGTCGTGGAAGTCTCACCATCTTAATTTCCCGATGGATTACTGCAGGAGTACAGAGTCATCTACTATGCCTATCCTGAAGCTTTGTAACAGGAAGTTGATCATTTGAGATGTCATTTGATACCCAACACCCTTGTTTACTCTCAGACAATTAGCCAGCCATGTATTCCACACTGCACTGCTATAATTAAGAGCTTAATCAGGCAAAGGGTTGATGTGGAATGAGACTGTAATAGAAACTCCCCTTCAGGACAATTTTTACATTCGTCTGCCTTGTTAACCATCAGTTTTAGGGAAGCGGTGGGACATGTAATGTATCTGTTCCCAATCTGACATGTTATGAAGAACAGGCCCACTGAGAAATATGTACTCCAGTCCAATGATATTTCTAGGATAAAGACTTCAAATAATCTTTTAATAATATTCAGCAAGATACTAAAAATGATTACTTTTGTGTGTCTTTTGTTTGTCACCTTAAAATGTTCAAAAAGCACCACATCCTTTAAAAAGTTCATTTGATATGGATGAAAATATAATTAAAGCTTTTCTTTGCACCAAGGAATGCAGAGCTAAAACATCAAAAAAAAATGTTGCTGTCCAAATACATTTGGAGCACACTGTATGCCATTTGATAATGAGACCCAAAGGAAAGTGTGGTTAGAGCGTTATGTTTGCCAATGAAGCGTCTGAAAATATCCCACATTTTCCACTTATCACTTAACCAAAAAACAACTACAATCTGTATGGTAGCCTAGTTTCCCTCTGCTATACTGCCTCCTCCGGGCATAAGAAATCCCATGACAGCATTCAAAACCATACACACAACAAACCCACTTAGTTCCTGGAATCATGTTTTGGATAGGGAGAAATTCTAGGCCGCTGTGAAAAGACAAGCCCACAAAGCAGAACTTGCTTTTTCTTCTTGTTAAGGCTATAATGTACAGCTGATACCTGGTTTGTACGCTCCAGTGTAATCCTCTCCCTCTGGTAAATGCCACAAGGAATAAGCAGTGTTGACCTTGGGAGACGTGGGGGCCGGATTTGAGGGTGTCTTTTTAAAAGCCTGGGTGTGTAATTGAGTAGAGCGGCAGGGTGGCTGGCTTTGATGGTGTTCGTGCAAGCACAAGGGAGCGTAAGTGCGTGAGCGAACACACAGGATAAAAAAGGCAAGCAGAGGATACACACAGACATACACAAGCAAACACACACACACACACACACACACACACACACACACACACACACACACAGAAACTCTGCGCGTAGGCCGAAATCAGTGGATTCAATAAAGCACATACATGATCAACAGCCAGTAGGTTTGGTACACTGTGAGGTTTCAGGGCAGCTGTTGGCACCATGAGGCTCCTCATCACCCAGACAGATCAGAATGAGCCCGGTTTTCCTCCAAGAAGCCCTCCAGTCCTCAGTACAGACCGCTCCAAAACACCAGCTTTGATGGGGGTTCAACTCGACCAACAAATCTCCCACCCCAGGACATCATTAGTTCAATTTTGGCATTAAAGCCAGTGGTCTATTGGACTAGAAACCTTCATCGCATGCCCATCCCGCTCCTGACGGCGGTTTTCTTGGATCCACCTGCCCTGTGCTATGCTGTGTTATGTTTGCAGCCAATGTCAAGTTATAGACTTTATTTCATATCAGGTTTTACATGCCTGTTTTATTTTACAGGTTTTCTTTATTACAATTATATATAGACGTGACCAGATTCATTCTAAACTACAGTTAGGGCTGAACAATTCACAGTTTAATAGCTAATCAACGCTTTTAAACTGCGTAATCAACAGCTTTAGGAGGTGTACGTTTTAGTCACCTAGAGTTTATTTGGCCTGGCTAGAACTGACACATTTATCCAGCTGATTGAAATTAGTCCTGAGTTGGACAAACAACTAGAAGATTCTCTTGGTTGCCTGCTTCATACAATATGTTGGAAAATATGTATATTGGTGTTCGTACTACAGGTTTTTAAAGCTGGTTTTATCTGATGTTTAAAGTAGTGCTGTCAGTTAAACGCATTATTAACGGCATTAACGCAAACCCATTTTAACGGCGTCAATGCAAACCCATTTCAACGGCGTAAATTTTTTTGTGTGAGATTAACGTTCTTTTTGGCCTAGCACACTGTTTTGTTTTTTTCACATGCTGTTGCAACAACTAGTAACGTTAGAAAAACTACAACACCATTCCGGATCTAGCTAGACCGGAAACAAAACAACAGGCACACCGCACACACTAGTTTAAGAGTAGTAGACGTTACGTTTTGAGTGGATGGCGAGCGCGAGATGCAGAAATGGATGTCAATAATATTCTGAATGGAAAGTTTACTTTTAAAAAGTTGACATTAATGTGATTAATGGCAATTAAATATTTTAATCGTTTGACAGCACTAGTTAAAAGTTATCATTGACAGAAGGCTGCATGTTTTTGCTGCACCAACAGAGTGGTGGGTCTTGCTGTGGAAAAATGATCGAGGTCACAGGTTTACAAACTGAGGTGCATCTCTCCTGGGAGAGAGTTGCAGAGACGTGAGGTAAAAAAAACTAAACTTCTACTTCTAAAAAGTCCAGTTGCCTCAGTTTGCATCATAATTCCTTCTTGGAGTCATAACTCAGTCAAATCTGGACACACAGACAGTACACATACATACTTTTTTAATTCAACGTGACTCAGACTTTCTGAGGTTATCGTTATCTCTGTCTATGTCCATCACATTTTCTTCAGTCATAGATTGGTCAGACATGGCCTAATTTAGTTATTTCTATTCTATCATAAAACAATGTACTGTACAGATGACACAGAAACTGCTACTTGTCATTCAAATATGTAGCTGTAATCCATTCAATAAAACGCTGCTTTTAAATATCATGATTATAATTGAATATTATTGAGTTATTTTAAGTCTACTACGAATATGTGGGCTAAATTGGTAAATTTTTCTATAGAAAACTAGCCAAGTCAACTGAGAAGTTAGCTTTCCTGTCTGGCGGGTTTAAACCCTGGAGGCTGTCAACAACAAGCAACTGCATTATCTTTTCTGACTCAGTTCATGTGGAACAAAATTAATTTGTGACTATGCTTAATACAAACTTATCTTGTTTAAAACTGTGCAGACCACATGAGTTTAATTATAAAAAGTAACAATTTAAAATTGCAATCATATTGCTGCTTCAAAAATTCACAATTACATATAAATACTTCAGCACTTAAAACAATGATTACTCTTCCTTGAAAGACGTGATATATCTCTTGTCATTTTAATTTCAGTAAAACTTTGATGCAAAAGTTATCTTTCTCATCAACCCTTCTGAAAATACAAATGAAGGGTAATTGTACAAATGCCATATATTCCAGCTTCAACTCTCTTCACTTAAATTGGACTAAGGTCAGCAATTATCTTGGAAGAATCAGAGCTTGCTTAGATGAGAAATGGCAAAGAGGATGACAAGAAGTAAAGGATGACAAGAACACTGGCCATCAAGGCCATTTGGTTCCCCTATTCATCCACAGGAAGACTGACTGGCTGGTTCTACTGAAGGTGATAAAGGACACACCTACCAATTTTGAAGCTCTAACAAAAGCAGAGTTGATTAATATAAGCCTCTGTAAGACATATCAGTACTCCATTCAACAACAGAGGCGAACAAGCCCAGACAAACCATAGCAGTGCTGTAGCGGGACTTCTCTAACGAGCTCATCAGCCCCCTTCTGGATGACTAAAAGAATGATTTACAGTGTAATGTCCAGCTAGGACAATAATGTCTCACAATCCAACTTGATTACAAAATCTTCAAGGCGACTAGCAGCCATTATGTAAATGACTCATTTGGTTCAAATTTTGTTTACACTAATGCAACAGTATTAGGGTACATGAGTAACAGTAAAAGTCACACAGCTACACAGGAAGTAGGCTTTTTCCATCTACCGTTTGCAGTAAAATAACAAGGAGTGAAATTAAGTTAAATGTTATTAACACTTATTTAGGAAGCCAGTGAGGTTGGCCTAACGGGAAGTGCTGTCGGATTAGTTCCTATAATCTGAAAGTGTGGCTGCAGTTGGAAATAGCACCTGATCTATCATTGCAGAGGTGAGAGAAATCCATGACTGAATGTTTGATGAGGCACTTTGCAGCCCTGCAGGAGTCTCCTCTGCCTGACTGCTGCTGTGAAAATCCTGACAGGACCTGCAGGTCAAAAAGGTCCAAAAACTCTTCTGCCTTCTGGTGCAAAACAAACACAGTGTTTATGCTGTTATGCAGCCTAGTGTCCTGGTCTCATACTGTTTCCCATATAATGAGTAGCAGAAAGTTCATACACATACACAACTAAGTAATTAAAAGTAATTTCTGTTACTACACAGTGACTGACAGCTCGCTTGATACTGCATTGTTCTAATGATAAACCCTGTTAATCTGGTACGCCAAGCTGAGCAAAACAAACCATAATGAAGCATTTTCAAACAGTGTCAGGCTCCTACATGGTGAATGTGTGGTTGGGGGTGGGTGCGAGGTAGCGCATACAATAACTTTACATATGTGTGCATGCAGAAAGCACAGCATGTCTCACATACACTCATTGTTTCTTTTTTGTCGTGCTGCCTGTCTATTCCTGGAAGTCATTCATTCCCTGTGGGTGGCTGCGTGAGCCGCTGAGTTAACTCACTCTGAGTGAAGCGTGGAGGATTGTCGTTGACGTCAGTGAGCCTCACGGTGACGGTGGTGGTCCCGGATAATCCGCCCAGGTGGCCACCCATGTCCTTGGCCTGAAGCAGCACCAGGTACTGGTCCTGGGTCTCCCTGTCCATGTCGGGTACAGCCGTACGCAGAATACCTGGGGAAAACATACACACAAGCAGTAGCATCTGGGTGGCAATGAGGCATTTAAAGCAAGGAAAAATAAGGTTTTTACTGCAGCCAAATGGCCATTATATATCTATGTGGGACTAAAAGGGTTTTTTGATCAATATTTATGACTCAATGATTACCAGGCTTCTGCCTTCCAAAATCCACTTTCTGGCCTGTGCTATGTTTTGGAACAAAAGCTCATGCACATTGGGATCTCAACCAGCTCTATTCACATTTTTAACTACTGTGTCTTCTAAAGTATCACAACATCTTCTCTATCATGATAGCTTATGTCTTCACCAAGAATTTGTCGGTTCCGATTTCTAATGAGGCATACTTTACAATATGAGCTCTAACTAATGATAATAAATCATTTATTAATGCTTCTATTCTCTTACCTGCAATGTGATGCAGTTCATTTGTTCACTCATTCTACAGTTGTAGACTTGATGGATCATTGTAATGTTGGATTAACCGTATTTCAGTAGTAAAACAGCAAATCCATTTGACTTTGACTTGATACCCAATGAAGTGGTGGACTGTGAATCTTAATGGACACTGTGACCTTTTATTAATGCCTTATTAACATTTATAACAGCAGATCTGATTGCTCATTATGAACTGAGAAAGTCATGACCCTTTATTAAAGACTTCATCAGGACTGCGGTCATACATGTTAGTAAGTCATTAATAAAAGGTCATGGGTCTCTTGCTTTCCAATAAGTTGGTATTTCATCGAGGTTGGTCCAGATGCTCTGCAGCTCTTTTGTTGAAGGTGACTGGTAAAATGGTCCATTGGAGGGGTCTGCCTGATTAATTACAGAGATACAGAAAGTTACAGCCAAATGGATTTTTTAGCGACCAGGCAACCAAAAATGTGTTTTTATTGCTTACTGGTGATAGAGCTAGAATGGAAAATTAGCCAGGTCCATACATTAGCCGATATTGGTTTTGTGCAGATGTATCAGAAACTGCAGTGTTAAAGTGTGTTTAAATGTGTGTGTGTGTAAAGTATGTTGGCCAATATATACTTTTTTCAATTTTTAAACTAAAATATAAATATTGTATGCCTCGGAAATCCAGTATCAGTCGGGCTATAATTACTAATTAATGAAGCAACAATAAATCATTCAGTAGCCATCAGTGAATCCATTAGTTACAAATAGTAACCCTTTCAAAGTATGCCTTATTATAAAGTGGTGCACACTTCTATAAGGCACTGTATTTTACTCATCCTCCTTGTGATGATTGTACTGTATTTTTACTGTATATATCATACTCGTAAACTGTACTTATGTAAGCTGTTCCATATAGCTGCCAGTGTTGTTAGCAGTTCCTTTATCATTATCAAAGGTAATAAAGTCATCGAGTTGTTGCTGTGTGAAAAAAAATCCATAGCTTCACTCTTAGTAATTAAAATGTTTTCACTCTAATTGACAGATCGAGTTCAACTTAAGCCTCTTGGGCTTTGGAAGCCCTTTCAAAGCCTATTGGACAGAGTCAAACTGCACTGTCATCAGGCTGAAGACATGACTGCTTTCCTTGACAGTCTGACAGCTTTTCTGACTTTTTGAAGACACTCAGTTTCCATTTGACAGCGACAATATATTACTTAATGGCCCGTTAAAGGCCTACACACACACACACACACACACACACACACACACACACACACACACACACACATACAAACACAGATAGGCGAAGAGGCTCATATGGTAAAGATAAATCACCCAACACCGACAGCCAGACATGCTGACAGAGCGTAAAATCTCGTTCTGTATCTCACACTTTTTAACAGCACACCAAGACACATCACTTACAGGCATTCAACATCGATCACCTGCTCTGCGTAAATGACCTCATTCTGCTACATATGATTGGATGTTGCACATCAAGTGCAGGCTGCTCTCACCCAACATCAGCCAAAACACCGGTCTGGATGACTTGGCAGCTCAAGGTGAATCACATTCAGCGCGGGCTGTTTTGAATGCTAACGAACGAGCAGGAATATGTCTAGGTTTCTGAGCAGAATTCATAAGCAAACAAACTGAATATATGAGAATGTGCTCGCCTCCGAGTGTACGTTTTGAATAAGGGCTTTGGTGATGGAGCCGACGAGGAACAGGGTGATTGAAAAAGGGAGCTAGAGAGGGGGAGAGAAGAAGGGAGAAGAGAGCGGACATGTTCAGAATACTAAAGCTTGTCTAATAGCACAGTGTCACTGCTAATACACACTGGGTGGAATTACGCTTATATTCCCCAATTAACATTTCAAAAAGCAGCACAGCTCTGTTCGCTTGCTGCAAAGGTCCTCACATGTCAAAGCAATCAATTACTGAACATTGACATTCAATGATCAAAACACAAGTATCGGCCACCTGTGACCCATGTGGGCAAAATAAACACTCACACACAGGCACATACTCCCACACACAGATAAAAAAAAACCTAACAACTTCAGCAGCCTCGTCGTGAGCTAAATGCTAAGTGTTTATATGCAAGCTGTCAATCAAAACTGCATCTAAAGCATGAGACAGTTAGAACTCCATTTCTGAGTCAACCAAGCAATGATTTCCCTCCAAGGTATGGTGCTAAAAAAAGTAATCATAATAAAATAAAATAAATAAATAAGCGCCCTCAGCCTCCTCCGCTCATCCAAAAACTTTATGCCCTTGGGTGACATGTGTGACACGGAGACATATCCAGAGCACACATAGCAGACAGGTCCTCTGAGCCCTTTGTAATCTGCCCCGTGTAACAGTTCACAAACCTTTGCTGACGTCTCTCTTTGAACACATGTCTTTTTGTTTTTGCTTCATGCAGAAATAATAACATTAGGCTGCTGCTGTGTTTTGTTCGGCGCACACAGGCTCTGCCATCACGAATACATTTCTGCCAACTCATACTGGAGTGAACCGGGGGAGGGGGGAACACTGGGAGAGGGAGGGGATGTGCATGTGTGTGTGCCTTGAAGAGAGTGTATGTGTGTGTGTGTTGGGTGTTGGGAGATGAGGGTGTTTGAGGGGACACAAGAGGGAAAAGGGAAGTGAGAAAGATGGATGACTAAGTGTGGCAGGAGAATGAGGGATGCACGGGGGGGGGTTAGTTTGAATGTATGTGTGTGCATGCGTGTGTGAGTGAGAGAGATAGAGAGAGTGCAACAGTGTAAAAAGAGAGATGAGTGTTTCCTCTGTGTATTCTCGGATGCTTTGCTCCACCTGTGGTTTGCACGCTCACCTGCATGTACGTGTGTGTGTTATCATGTCTGTCCGCTCTCACATGTTCATCATCGTGTGTGTGTGTGTGTGTGTTCTGAATTGGCTTGTTTGCTCATACAGTATGTGTGTTTGCACTTGAACATCTTGAGTATATTTGCTTTCGCGCAGTGTGTGTGTATTAGCTTTCCGACATCTGCGCATCTTTTACATTTCTCCACCCATGTGTGTTACAGCGGGAACACACACACACAGATACATAAACACACTCACCTGTCTGAGGATCGACGGAGAAGTACTGTTGGCCCTGCACCAGTGTGTACACGAGCTTGGCGCTGTTCCCATAAGTCGGGTCATCAGCATCTGTCGCTGTCACCTGGATTATAGACGTGCCTGCAGGGAGGAGAGACGAGGGAGGAAAGGAGGAAAAGCGTAAAGAGAAAGAGCGTCCAACGAGGTAGGAAAAGGGAAAGGGGGGGTAAACACAAAGGAGACAGAAAAAGAGAAGGACTGAGTAAAAACAAGGCAGAGCTAAAGCTAAGTGGACAGGATACAGCAGCACTTTAAGGGAATAAGAAAGCTTTATATCAAGTCAACCTCCACACTCCTCTCCCACTCCTTTTCTTTCAATCTCTTTTCAACGGCAGTGTGACAAATACTTTGTTCGCCCTCCCACCACCCCTCCTTCCCCTATCCTGCCGCTCACCTTCTTTCCTCGCCCCCCCCAACCCCACCCTCGGTTCCCTCTGTCTCACTTCATTTCTCTTCATCTCCGTCTCCAATTCCCTTTAGCTCCCTCTCTCAATCGGACCGTCTGTCTCTTCAACGGCCTCCATCTCCCTCTCACTCCCGTAAATCTTCTCTCTGCGGCTCATGAAGTGTCAATTTGGCAGGGAATTTTTTTGCAAATTGTTGGCAAAAAAAATGGAAATATATGAAATAACAGTAAACACATTTCATATGTAGAGTAGTCATATATATCTATATTTATAGAAGAAGTGCGGGTGGAATGACTTTTCCCAGTGGGACTCGAGCCAGACAAGATAAAGAGGAAGAAGGGGATTTGTGAGAGCAGCTGCTACTTTATTTCTGATCAAAGTCATGACAGTATCACTATAGGAAAGATTGGTAGAGTGTGTTTGTGTGTGTGTGTGTGTGTGTGTGTGTGTGTGTGTGTGTGTGTTTGTGTGTGTGTGCGTGCGTGCGTGCGTGCGTGCGTGTGTGTAGGGAAAGCAGAGAATGGGGCATTAGATCATCTGTCTGGTGATCCCCTACAGGTAGTGGTCACAGGGGGTATTAACAGATGGTAGATGTTAATTCTGTAATGATTGCACTGGAGAGAGTTCAGAAGGAAAAAGAGAGAGTTTGTGTGTGAGAGAGAAAGATTTTATACTACATACTAATTCTAAGCAGGTTTTGAGTCTGTTGTGTACTTGACCTTGTATTACAAGTCCTATTTTTGTAGCTTTACCCATCAGTGGTGAAAGGTAACTACACTAAATCCATTTAGTTACAGCAGCTACAAGGAACTTTCATTATGTTGATTCTGGCGGCCCCTGTGGACAGAAGCGGTAGTGTTTCAAATCGCAGTTTCATTGATTTCAAGGTGAATCCAACCAAATCCGACGATATGGAAAAAGCTAACAAATCTTTATTTGTTTATATAGGTCATATAGAGGCATCAGTGGTCCAAAGAGGTAAAACAATTCTGTGTTTCACAAAAAGCAAAAATTATAGAAGAGTCCAAATAAACAAATACAAATTTGTGTATCGGAACTTATTCTTCTTTTTTTTTCCTCTCCCATGAATCCTCATAACCTCTTGGATTTAACATGTGACAGACCAGAACCCCTGATTGGGAACCAGTGAATTGAGACTAAACTACATAGTTGCGTGTATAATTAAGTATCTTCACCTCCAACAACAATTCTGTTTACACATTTATGCATCAGTAACAATAATGTCAGTCAAAGGGGCCATTTTTTTTTAGCACTTTTACTTTTGAAAGTATGTTTTTTTTAGTAAGTACATTTTTATATAGCGGTAACAAACCTGGCATCTTCCACCACTGTTACCCATAGTTTCTGTTAGTTTTGATAACATACTATACAGCAAAACATAGTGTGAACACAGCAACAACACTGCAATAAAGTCCGACAAGACAAGAAACACCACCTGTCAGACGACCAGACATGCTGTAAACAAGCCAGTTAAGACATCAATCATCTTATCCACTGTATTTTCAGGTATTATCAACACGAGAGCACATAATGTTTGGGATAAACCTTAACTGCACAGAGAAAGTGGGCACATACGGCCGCAGGAGGTCGGTCTGTAAGCTGTGGTGGATGTTCACAGCAGACCATTTTGGATAATAATTTTACAGTTCCACATTATTTTCTCTTCCAAATATGTTTTGATGACCTGCTGGCTATTTGAAAACCTGTCTGATCGCCAAGCCGCTTATTTCTCCCTTCTGAGCGGAACAATCAACTCAGTGAGTGCCATGTTACAATGACTGATAATTGTCAAACCTACAAAAATCCAAGTTGAAATAAACTAAACTACACTCAAGAAGGGTAAACATGCATTCTAGCTAATGCTTGATTTTTGAGGGAGCAGCTCCCACCTGCAGGTAAATGCAAAGAACACGCGTTTGATGGTTGTGAGATTGCTTTAGGGAGATCTTTGAAAACAAAAAAATAAGAATGAAATTAAAACTGAAGCTTACATCTGAGATTGAAGCTGCCGTTGAACGTGATGCATCATTTCATGTACTGTGATTGCTAGTTGACTAATTGGAAAAAAAACATATAGAATAACTGTTAGTACACAGTACTGTGTACTTAGTACATGGAGACACAGTAGGAGAAGTAGAGAGGAGAGTAGACACCCTTTTTATCTCTTTACCTTCATTTTCAGATGTTTGGCCATTATGATTAATCCATGCACAGTTTTGATTTCTGTCTCCATTTCACACATTTTCTAGCCAGCCAGAAAAAAAACATTATTCCAGTACTATCTACACTTTCAGTTTTCATTTCAAAGCATTCCACTTGCAGACTGACACAGACTACAAAGTGTCTGCTACTGAATCCCTTTATGTGTTAGGCTTTTTTCCACTACAGATATTATAGATATGTGCAAGGGGACATAAGTAGATAAGTAGACAGAATTGTTTCTTTTGACAGTAGTAAAAACTAATCAGACTTCGGATCAAACAGTTTGGCTCTGAGGTTGATGCAACAAGTGCAAGGCGGAGGCAAACCTATTGGTATGCAGCCTGCCAGCGGTGCTATACAGCCACTAACACTCCACAAGGATCAAACATTCACACTGCTACGCCACCATCTGGAATGCATGTTCTCACCATAAGACATCTGTCCACCAGGGAAAAGGAATAGGAATCTATTCCAATGTTTATAGAAATATAAATATATTGCACTTTAATATTAATACTCAAGGTTAAACTCTAAATATGTCATTCTCCTAGAATCCAGATACACATCTGGCAAGATGTTTATAGCAAGTCAAGTGAAACCAACACAAAACACTTTGCAGACACAAATTTGAAGAGGGGAACTGGCTCAGTTCCAGTGCACCTTGCATCAGTGTCTCATTGCCGTAGAAGACACGCCAACTCGCCCCCATCTCCCCCCTACCACCCTCACTTTTAAACGTCTGATGTAACAAGTCTTTGATAGGATGCTCACAGCAGCACTATCTCCTCAGTCACACGTGCTCCAAGGCACCTTGGTAAATATTGAATCGTCAAGTAAATATTGAATCCATGATTGACTGAACAACTCAATCTGAAGACTGAGCTGCTATGAGGAGCAGACGCTCATAAGGCAGCTGATAGGATTACTAAATAGTGCTCGTCTCCATCACCCACTCTCCCTGGGCCCTGCCCCGGCAGGCTGCTGGCAGGGTCATTATTCTAATCTGAATTAAACAATTCAGTGCGGGAGGGACCTTGATGTTTGGAAAAAATCCTTTAAGAGGCAGATGGTAGGGACCTCAGGCCAAATTTGCTGAACTTTTCTAAACTAACCAGTTTAGGGGTGAATTATTTAAAATAATACCCTCTTTTCTTGCAAATTCGAAAGTTTTCCTGAAAGCAATTCTGCCAGCTTTTAAAAGGCAAGAGTGCTGCTCAAAGTAGAACCCATTTTCAAAGGGGCAGAGCGGAGTTTAAATGGAGATTAGAGTACTTCTTGTACATACAAACTGTTTCCTACAGGCTCTTTGCAGTCATGCACTGAATTACAATCTGAGACAGTTATTGTCACTTCAACATCTCACTGCAATATGAGTGCAAAAATCCCCCCCATCTCTGCCCTTACCTCTCATTTCATTCCTATTCCAAGCACTCTTGTCACATTGCGCACAATATCTTCTCTGCGGTCACAGAAATATTATCAGGTCACTGTGGCTGTGACATGTACTCTGCCATGGCTTGGAAATGATAATGATTATGTGGTAGATTTGGTAGAATTGAAAAAATAACGATGATAATTTCTTATTTAATTTGAAAAAGGATTTGTATGCGATGACACCCAAATCTCACAACAGTTTCTCTACTTTCAAGGAATGACTCCACACTGTTCTCATGAATTTCGTTGATAAAATGTATTGTGTTTTTTGGGGGGTAAACATTATCTGAAACACAGACACTGCCATACATCAATGCCAACAGGAAACAGAACAGTTTTTAAACAGGAATTTCAAAACTGCTCCCTCAGATTTACTGATCTCCAACCAACGGAGGAACCCAGGGTCGACTTATGATGGATTTTAAGGTGTTTGCCCCAGAAACCCACTTTTCTTCTTTCTTTTTTTTTCTTTTGTTGTGTTGGTAGAATTTATTCACTTTGAAGGTAAAGGCATTTCACAGTGCGCTGCTTCTCTAACTGGGAGCTCTCTTTTCCTGACACTGGGTACGAGTAAGAACAAGGAGTGCAAGCGTAGGTGGGTGTGACCACCTAATTGTGGTTCACAGTGCAATATGGAAAAGAGATTGGAGCAGGATACATACATAATTAGTAGGCGGAATAGATTTTTTGCCCGCGGACTCAGGGCAGGTTTCAGTTATGGCAGGTCACGCCTGTTCCTCACCCCGTTAAAAAGCGGCAGACATTTTCCAAACGATGAGCTGATAGGAAAGTCCAGGCTGGTGGAATACTGCTCTTCTCTGGAAAGAATCCCAAAGCAGCAACTCAGTGTGCATGCCTTGAATATGAATAGACAGCATCCCTAATAGGCAGATTATGTCTTCTTTTCATGTAGCACAATACAAGCTGTTTCTATTTGTACTGTTCCATTCTTATATTTTATATGCTCAAATGATTCAAAATATTGTATTCAGTTAGTTCAAACAATCAAGCCACAAC